TCACCGTGGAGGATGAGATGGGATGAGGATGGCGGTGGAGGCGGGTCAGCCCGGGCTGGGTGAGCGGTGGCGGGGTGTCTGCATGCTGACTCACATGTACTAGTTCACCTGGGTTGGAGAGCCGTTGTGGCTTCAGTCTGCACGCCAGTCCCACTTGCATAATCTAGATCAGTTTGCAAACGGATAATTGAATGAGGTATATTTAAGGTTTCTCCCAGGGACCGATCTAGATAAGTAGACTTCTAAACCAGACCTGCTGTCTAAGGTCTGCTCCTAATCGATATCCTACAACAGCCCCAGGCCCTCCCCCAGGTATTCGTTTCACCTGATCAAGGGTTCACACGAGCGTTTAGCATTCTCAAACATTAAAAGCTCCTTCTGCAACAGAACCAGACCACCAGGGCCACTTACCAGGGCCCTCCAAAGGATCTGCTGGGTTCGGTCTACCTATGCTTCGCCTACGCACGAAAAAAATGGACACACAAAAGCCTCGCGGACGCAGAGGAACGCAGAAGGGCATACCTTGTAGGCAATGCTGTTGAGAACTTTCATCGCCAAGTCGGAGACGTCGGGATAGGGGTCGGCAGCCAGGTGCAGGAGAACTCTCCAAATTTGGGTATAAACACTGTTGAAACTCACACCTAAAATAATAAAAAACAAAACAGCAAAGCCCCACAGCACATGACAATCCATCGACTCCAACGCTTTGATCTGATGTGAGAAAATTCATTAGAACTCCAAACATCCCAATGACATCTAAGAAAACATCAAGAGAAGAGCTCGAAAACACCCTGCGTGGGCATTCTGCCTCCATCGCGCCTTTCGGTGTGAACTCTGCAAGGGCTCGTACAATGAAAGTGGCAGAAAGCAAAACACATTAAAGACCACCTCAATAAGCTGCAGACAAACTGCCGGTTTTCTAGGCTCCTGAAGCAAACAATCTGAAAGGGTCAAATGTAGAAAGTCTCTGGATCTCCCGAGCTAAAACACCGAACAGCATAAAACTGCAGTCCTGGCGGATATTCTGATGGTTATTTTTATTGCTGTTTTAAGCATTAATACCCAGCTTGAATGTTCAGAGTTTATATATTCTATAAGTTTACTGAACATTAAAAAGAAGCTGTAGGACCCGTACCTCTGAGAAGCAGGGAGTCTAACTCAGCCTTTTCTATCGACGTTTGGATCAGTTCCTCAATTGCCAATTTGTTATTTAACGAGCGTGCCAGCTGTTTGGCATTTCAGCAGAAGGGACTGACAGATCCAAAGCACAAACCACATTAATAAGCATTTGCAACAACCGACAAAATTCCGTGAACAATCTATTTTGCTGCTTTTAGGCGCATCTCTAATTTGTTATTCTTTCTTCTAACCCTCGTCTAAGCGTTGTAACATCATCGTTCGGAAGCTGAGCCACGCGGGCAATACTGAAGTGGATGCACTAACGGAGAACGGAACTGGAGCAGTGATTTCAGATGAGTCACACCCAACGGTAAATGACAGATCAAGCTGTTACTGCATTTCCTTTCGCGTTTCTGGAGGCATCTAAAAATAAAGTGTTAAGTCAGGAAGAAAGGTTTCCTTGGCTGCGAGCAGCTTCTCACCTTGCAGAGCTGCTAAACCTGATGCTCCAGGCAGCAGCCAACAGAGCGGGAGAGCCCTGGGCTGCGGCTGGAGGAGGCAGGGGAACCCTGCTGCTGCCCGAACAACTCCCCGCACGCGACGGAGCATCCTGCAGGACGGAGAGGCAGCCACCCACCCCCCCCCACCCGAGGGGTCTCTGACCCAGCCGACAGCCAGAGGGTTTTCCACCTGGTGTCAGCTCCCCACAGCAACCCCACGAGCGTTCACACCCGCACCCCTGGGCAGCGCTGCCCGCTCGCCGGGGGCTGCCCACGCA